TGGCAGTTCGAAGCCCAGGTGCCACATGATGGGGTGAACTTGTTAGCATGGTTACACAGCTTTATCATGTTGCACACAGAGCATTCCAAATGGTTCTTACATTCATCCAATTTCAATTCAGGGCACACACTTCTCAGTTTCTTAAACTTGTAAAGCCCGTGTGTCCTAACACCCTGTGAAGGTAGTGTGCACAATTTAAGTGCAGTGGCATATTGCCAACTGTGGCACACTCTGCCCCCTTCCCAGTGATAACACAATCATCCCCCTCAAAATGTAGGGTATACCTGTCTGTAGTCAGTGAGAACACACTAACCAGACAGTTTTGTAAATGGGGAGCACACAGCACATTTTCAAAGTCTTTGTCAAACCCTGGAAAATGCACAGTCCCCATGTCTCTTACTTGGCTTGAACCCCCATCAGCCAAATCCACTGAGTCAACACATGAGGGCTTCCTGTCCTTCACCAAGGACCTCTGGTTCACCAAGTGGTGAGTGGCACCGCTGTCGATCATCCACAGATGTCTGGCTGTAACAGCAAGATGGGCTTGACAGTCACTATCTTTTACTGCTGAAACAACTCCCTTCCTGTTCCCAGGAGACCAGTGTTGTTCCTTTCTTCTGGCAGCAGGTGGCTTCTTGCAGTTCCTCCTGAAATGACCTGGCTGACCACAATTATAACATTGTCTAACTCTGTAGACGGCTGCACTCTCAGTTTTTTGAACTGCATCTGATGGTGTGTTTGCTGTCTCTGAATGCCAATCTCGGCATGTTGCTGTCTCTGAATGCCAATCTCAGAAATGCCATCTCTGGCATTCTTCCAAGACACGTGTTGACACCAAGTCCATTGTGAGCTGACTCTCTGGCACCCCCTGCAGGCTGTACAGTATGTGATCAAAGTCACTGGATAAGCTGCCCAGCAGGATATATGCTTTTTGTTCTTTTGGGAGGTTTATTCCTCTGGATGCTACCTCCAAAAACAGATGCTTCATGGTGGCCAGATGCTCCTCTGGGGACTGTCCTTTCTGCATCTTACAAGCATACAGCCTTTTGCTCCAAAGCATTTTGAAAAGAGCAGAGTCTGACTGGTGCACATTCTTCAATGCAAACCAGACCTCCTGGGCAGATCTCTTATCTCTAACATGGTCTAATTGGTTTGGGTCCAGGGAAAGATTTATGGTTGCTCTTGCTTTTCTATCAAGCTCAGCATTTTTCATTATCAGACCCTCTTCAATGACATCCCAGAGCCCTTCCCTCACCAGGACCGCCTAGGCATAAACTGCCCACTGGGAGTAGTTCTGATCATTTAGCCT